AAATGAAATTATCTTTCGAACTTCTAGGATGCATTATATTTATTTTTTTCTAGCTTCTTAATTCCTCTCCTAATGTTGAGAAAAATATCCAAATCATTACATGAGAAACATTAGGCTTTGACCATAAGTCAACTACAGTGATGAAACTTTTATGTTAATATAATGCATGTAAGTGTTGCTGCATATAAAATAACATTCCTAGATAGAAATGAAAAACACTTTGTTTCCAATAATTATAATTTAGAAATTAATTTATGACATTTCACAAAAAAAAAAAATAATAATAATAATAATTCATGAAAAGTTTGAGATTTAGGCTCACTATCATCAGCTAGATAAACCATCTCGATTATACAATTTGAGAATTATGGTCATAATTTAAAATCTGAACAAGTAATCTTGCAAACTTCAATTGTGAATATATAGAAACATCATACAAACATCTATTTGATATATTTATTAGATAAGAATAATATCTAGATGTTTCAACATGAAAGGTGACAAACCCCATATATTATACCAACTAATTTCCAAATTTATATGAATTTACTCTCAACTTTAGCTAGTGATAATTATTGGCCAATTTATAGTACTAAAAACAATAATCATATGAGAATTCATTGAAATAAAGAGTCTTCTGATTTTTCATTGAATACTCATTCGAATTCACAATAATTTTTGCATCATTATTGATTTGAGATGAATTGACATATCATGCCAAATAACAAAAATATTCAAGAAATTGAACTTTTGATTCAATATCATATGTGTTTCAATTGTAATTGTACATTCGATGCACATAATTGAAACATGGTAGGTAGGTTTCTTTTTTATTAAGTGGGGAGCAAATTATGGTATGAAATTTTGTTCACCCAATTAATCAAATATTGACTCTTTTAGAGCATTGAATCAAATTTGTAGTACTTAATATTGGATTAACATCGAATTTTATCGTTGCTTTCATTCTTCTTCAAGGAGTCGCGATGAATTCGATTATATACTTGACCTACTATAGAAATCAAAAGAGATGGAAAAAAAACAAAATTACGTTAAAAAAACATTAATATTATATTAATGTTTCATCATAAATCCTTCAGAGAGTTATGATAATCTCATCAAATGTTTGAACGTCGCCATTACCCAAAAAGATAAGCCAACAAATAACAAATCAATCAATTTAGTGACGTGCTATTAATAAATTAAATAGTTACATATAATGAATTGACTACTTAAAATATCTAGACCCATAAAAATTGGATAGACAAAATTGTACAATCTCTCATTATCGTAATTTATAAGTGGCCAATAATTAGTAAATGATCAAATAATGTGCAATGGTATATCATAATGGACAATCAATATTTTAACAATGGCGACGAAATCAAACAATTATTAGGGGAAAAAAAGGGATGAAATCTTTCCATATACTTTTATCAGTTAAATGCTTTTAAATCACATCTCGATGCAAGGATCATTGAAATCAACGCATCAAAATCCAATAATAGATAGCATATAATTCAATAACTTCAAGAATATTTGTGTAATATGTATGAATTAAACTACTTGTACTAGGAAGATCCCCTATACAAGTTACTATGCAATGTTGGCATGCTACAATTATAATTTTCCTTATTCATATTGCAAATTCCAATATGTATATCATATTTTTATAAAAGTCATTATTCGACAATAACTAAATATTCTTTTAAAGTATTGTTAATTTTTTTTCTTATACAAGTATCAGTACAATATTTTACCAAAATATTGTTGTATGTGAAGTTTGTAAAAAGCTTCAAGTACAAAAGCATGCAGAGAAAAGGGTGGAACGAAACCCCTCATAGCGGTAAAAATCGTTATTACGAACATGTGGATAAATACGTAACGTATAACTTCTAAATCAATGAATGTAGGACAATTAAGTTGATGAATAACATGTAAATGCATAATATACAAACCCACCATTAAATGGCCGTCACTTTTTTCGTCTGGAAAGACCCAATTGCCCCCAATGATTTAAAGGAAATATATAAATACCTGCCTGCGATATGTATGGTATGCCAATTTAAATACCTCATTTTCAAATAGTCATTTTACCTCTTACGCCTCGTTAAGCATCAAGCACTCAATTTAGAAGGAGAAAACCTTAATTAGGTGAGAGGCATTTATTGATTATAATTTGAGGTCAACAATCTCTAAGACAAATTAAAGTTTTATTACTACGTCATGAAATTAATGGTTAAAATGCATCCCACCTCAACATTTGTTAACAAATGTAAAAATTTTCTATACAAGTATTTATTCAAATCAAGGGCCAAAATGCATGGCACTTCAACATCAATCAACAAATGTAAAATTTTTCTATACAAGTAGCTTAATGGTATAAATTATGATTAATTCTCGAGCTGTACTACACGTATTCCACGTCAAATACATCCCCGGGGGGCCGGGGGGGTTATAAGTGTGGATGAATATTTTTTTGACAATATTTTATTCATAGGATGTCCAACGCGAGTATTCTGGATCGTTCTATGAACCCCTCCTCTTTAAACATAACAAAAATCTTAATTCTCTAAATTGTCCACTTTGCACACATCCCAAGTTTTTGGTATCATAGCCCGTCTTTCTGGCCACGTTGCACGGGCGGTGGTGATTGGGCCCATTTGTTCTATTACAAGGAGCGCGGAGCCACGAAAGAACCTGTGAGCAGGTGGTGCAGACCCCACCTCAACGTGGGTTATGGGACCATATTTATATTTGAATATTGTTAAACACCATTATTAACAACTAAATTACTCTCAACATTTTTAAAATTATTCATTATCAAATTTTCAATTATGTAGCAAAATTCATCATTCCTTACATTTTGATCATGGAACAACGAATTTTCATTTCTCTTTAAATTATAAACATGAAAATCAGTAAAAGAAAAAAATAATAATAATAAAATAAGGAAAATATTCTAATTAAGTTCCATAACTTTTCAAAATACAAATAAATCACACTTAGAATAGTAAAATACATATTAACAAATAAAAATAATTTTAAAAAATTCATCTTACCCAACCTATGACATCAATCCTTATTCATCTCGTCTGCAGTCAAACACCACATATACAAAAATACAATCATGCTGATAATGCATCATCACCATCACCTTAGAAAAATTAATTCAAAAAAAATAATAATAAAAATAAAAACGACTAGATAAATAATCATCATATCTAAAAAGTTAAGAGCCACAATTTGAGTCATGCGATCAAGGCTGTGATTTGGTTCTTTCAACAAATAGTGGAGGGCTAGTGAGGTCACAGCTGTAGTGGTGGTTCTACGATCTAGATTGCTAATTTGTTACTTGTAGTGGATAGTGAAGAGCTAGTGATGTGACTACTGTCGATTGTGGTTCTACGATCTAAACAACTAATTTTTTATTTAGGATGGGAGGATGATTGTGTTTGGTCACAGATAGTGGTTGAGTAGGACGGGAGGATGATTGTTGATGGGGTTGGTCGGTGAGTTCATTGGGGGAGACGACATGCTTATTTTTCTAAATTTTATTTCTTATGAATTCATATTTATTTAATTATTTTAAGTGTGATTTTATTCATATTTTTGAAAAGTCTTGGTACTAAATTGCAGATATTCGTATTTTTCGTTGTTTTGATCTTTTTTAGTATTTATTTAAGAGAACGACAAATTAATTACTTAATGGTTAAAATAAAGGGAAGAACAATTTTTTTGCTTCATAATTGAAAGATTTGAAATAGATTATGCTTAAAAAAAGATTGAAAGTAGATTTACTACATTTCAAAAAGATTAGGAACGAAAAATACAAATCTCCCTTTTTAATGTAATCAAATAATATCCAGCTCTTCGAATGAAATATTCAAGTGTTATCATATTCATAATGTCGATTATATCTGTAAATATTATAACAAAATTCTTTACTCTTAATTTTAATATTTGAAAGATAAAATTTGTTCTCTATTTTTAGCTTTTGTCAACAAGATTCGACCATTCGTTCTTGTGCTTATGACACTTGTAAAACAAAAGATAACTCTCCGAGTAATATTCAAAAATTTGATATCCGACATATGATTAATGAGGAGCTACATTAAAATGGTATTATCAACATTTCAAATGATATTCTCATTATTTGAGTCCGTTTATATTTCAAAAGTACACATATCAAATCACAATATTAAATATTCTTGATACTTCAAACTTTGTGTTTGATATATTAAATGTCTTGAATGATATTTTATTTCGAACATGACATTTCTCTACATTTTAAATATTGTTCTCGATCTTTGACATGTGCAATATAAAATTATTTATTCTTTCATTAAGAGTAAAATGAAGAATTTGGTATGAAATTTGGCCATTTTTGCAAAGATGATTAAAAGTGGACATTTTTGAATTGACATATGTAAAATTGACATTTTTGCAAACGACCGTGCTACACTATCAAGTCTGTAAGAGGCCTGGTAGTGTAGCCCCTCTAACAATTAGGGGTGGGTACTTGGGGGTATTTTTTTAATTATGAAACCAGCCAAAATGAGAGAAAATAAGAGATGAGCTCTTCTATCAGGCCTTTTACAGGTACGATAGATAAGCATTTTCCTTTTGCAAAATGCCTCCAATAAAAAATAAAACAATTACTTCAAAAAAACTGTTCTTTTGCAAAATGCCTCTAATAAAAAATAAAACAATTACTTCAAAAAAACTGTACGGTCTACAATATGTACACTTGAAATGTGACAAGTGTGAGGACACCTTTTCTTCGGAACACGCATGTTTATGAAACGCGCTTCCACACGCGCGTAGGCTCATAACATCGCCATTGCTTGGGCACAAAAAAAATGTTTTTTATTTTGCAGTGTCGTGATCATCCTCCCTCTCCATACAGGCGTCGTCCTTGTTGTAACATTAATGAAATGTACATAAAATGAAACCCAAATTCACATGAAATTCACGCACCCCAATCAAACATTATATATACACTGCGTCCTCAAGCTCAGTCTACGTTTATTATATGCTGGAATCTTACGTAAACACACTTGTTTACTTACTTGGCTCGTCGGAGAAACTATATTCCGGCTACCTGAGATATACTTAAGATAAACCGGAAACCAAGATTCCGGCAATTTTTCTTATCGCCGGAATTTCAATAAGTTGATGTTCTATTTTGGTCATTGATGGCAAACGGACGAAAATTAACCACCAGCTGGAGTGAAAGGTGTTTAGGAAGTTTTGGTTACAATCGGGAGCAAGAAACAGTTTCCGGCGTGTCGGAGTTTGGAGAAGACGAAATTTGGTCAACTTTTGATAACGCAGTCGACGCCGACAATCATCTAGTCAATGGCGAGTGGACTTCAGTTGCTGGTTCCGAGAGTAATGAAAGCTTCAAGGGTTACAGGAGCCGCCGTCATGTTCCACGTGCCGACAGCCATGAGCACAACCCCCACCACCACGTTGGGGGCCTGTCGTCGGCTTTTGAGGATTCGAGTTCTCATAGGATCGTCCACCAGTATCGAAGCCGAGATAACGTAGTGGAATCTCCACCTGGGCACCACATGGCTACCTCGGCCCCAGTGAATGTTCCAGATTGGTCGAAGATTTATCGAATTAACTCAGTCGACTCACTTCACAAATTAGACGATGGCTTTGAGAATGGTGATTCGGAATTGGTCCCGCCACACGAGTACTTGGCACGCAGCCGAGACATGGCCGCAAACTCGGTGTTTAAGGGGGTGGGTCGAACCCTTAAAGGACGCGACATGAGACGAGTTCGAGACGCAGTGTGGAGCCAGACTGGGTTCGATGGCTAATTATGACTCAAAAGACTAATTTAATTATCATATATCTTGTTATTTGAGGAATGGTGATTGTTGCTTAATCATTGTTATTGGCCAAATTATAGTTCCGCAAGCGTGTAAGATTGTTACTAGATCGATAGGTATCGAACCCAGTCATAATATTTAGACTAGAAGTTCTCTTTGTTCGAACTTTCAGATCGATCTGTTATAATTGTTTGTAGAATGGGGTTTAAAAGCGTCATCGACGTGCTTTCCAAATTCAAGGATTATGAGCTTAATACGCATTAAAGATTCTTGAAATCAACCTTTATCTCGTTCAATTAACCTTGGAAATTGACGATTACATTATTTTAATTTTGGGCCTTGCAAAAATTATCATCCTAAAATTAATTTGTATATTACTCCTATATTATTGGAAGTCCCATTTCTATACATGGGAAAGTGACCACTCCTTCCGGACGGGCTGACAGGTGACAATAGTTTGGCCTCCTTTGCTTTGGAGTCTGTTGCTACAACATTTTAGTACACAATTTTCTTTTCTATCAATTAAGACTATGTCATAATACACGTACAATCTAATTTGACAATTCTGATTGATAATTTATATTTTGCAATATCACACTCATCCATTTTAAAAATTATTTTTTAAATTAATGGCTCGAATTTTGATTACATTAACATTGTCGACCATTATTGCCAAGCATGATTGTACATATAGATAAATGCATCACATATAGATGCAAAAGATGACAAAGTATTGTTATATGTACGTCAAAATATGTATTGAACTTCCTCATAGAGATAACAAGTGGTCGAACAATGAATATGACACTATCGTATAGTTAACTTCCTTAGAATTTTTATTTTTTTCGAGGTTATCGTCAAATAATGTTACATAGAATCATTTAACACCAATTTAGGCAACAATAAATTGTATATATTCAACTATATCATTTTATACAATTTAACCAATTGGTACTGCATGGCATTATTATATGGCAAATAAGAGAGAAATGGTAATATAAGACAGGGAATTGGACAACAAAAGTAAAATGGAGAAATGATTGAAAGTAGAAAGAGGTGTTGGGGTGGGGCAGAAGGGTGCTAGTTGAGAGATGTAATTAAAGCTGGTACCAATATATTGAAGGGTGGATACCTTCTGCCTAACCCTTTCAAGAAAGGGATGTAAGTCTATTGATTGGGGTACTTTGTGAGAGCTTGCGGTTCTATTTCTTCTCCAATTCTCTACCATAAATTTTTTGGATATCTCCAAATACAAATTATTCAAAAGGTAATCAAGTCGTTTAGCCCTATCTGGTCTTCATTTTTCCTCAGATTCATTTTTAACTACACATTTCACATGATCCGCAAGTTTTATCAATTATTCAATTACACATTCAATTAATTTTTATCAAAATATACTAAAACTTGATTTTTTAACTAAACCAAACAAGATTTAATATTTACGAGAATTTCTAAATTCATTATTTTCTATCTTCTTATCCGAACACTAACTTTTTCTTCACACCAACCACTTTTCACCTTCATCGCTACTTATCCATCCACTCGATAAGGACACCCTAGTGCCTTTGTTGCATAGGCTTAAGGATAGATGCACAAGTTCAAGGAGGCGACGGGCTAGAAAAGTAGTGATGGACAGTGGTGGAGCTAGAATTTTCACAAGGGGAGGCAAAGAAATGTTGAAGGGTCAATTTTACATGTTATTAGTATATTTTAAAAGAAATTCAAAATTTCTATACAAATTTAAGTAAAGTTTCAAATGTTGCAACAGCTGTCGCCCCATGGCTTTTTGCCACTGGAATGTGGTTGTGGTGTTAGAAAATGACAGGAAGACTCAAAAGGCCAACTAGTGGTGCCACCATTAGATAGATTTATGCGGCTTTTTAAATTCTACCGACATTTAATATCACTTAAACTGGTGTTATAACACGAGTGATGCTAAATAGAATTACTCTAACTCAAACACATGTAAGTGAATGTAATAAAATTAAAATTGTTCGACATTCAACATTTTTACCCAAAGTCCTGAAGCAAGTAGAGAAGAAAGTATAGGGATGGTATCGGGAGGGTTGGGGTCAAGTTAATCCTGCCCCCGCCCCATCGGGTAATTTTCCGTCCCGTACCCACGCCGTTACCCATTTAAGGTGGGGCAGAGCCCTTGTCCCTATTTAGTATTCGTTTAATTTATTTTTAAAAGTTAAATTATTCAAATATATTTGGTAAATTAAAATATTTTTTGTTTGTCATATTCATTAGATAATCTTAGAGCATCTCCAACCATTGCACCAAATTGCACCAAATTTTGGTGCAAACTTTCTCCAACCATTGCACCAAATTTTGGTGCAAAAAATGGTGTAATGAATAGTGTTGCACCAAATATGGTGCAACACTATTCATGTTGCACCATTTTGCACCAAATGGTGCAATGTCTTTTTTGCCCTTATTTTTCTTTTTTCAAAGATAATGGGTAAGGGCATTTGTGTCATTTTCGTTCTATAATAATAATGATAATAATGATAATAATAATAATTACTTAATTAATTACACTATAAATTATGTTATTAAAGTTTATTATTTTTAATAATATAATCAATAATAATTAATGTAATTGTTAATTTAATGTAAAGTTAAATTCGTAAAGTTTACGTTTAAAATTTAATTTAATGTAAAGTTTATATTATAGTTTATTATTTTTGTAAATTTAACGTAATTGTTTATCATAAATTAATAATATAATCAATTATTTTTGTCAATTTAACATAATATATGACATGTGATAATATAGTAATCAATATATTTGTTAATTTAATGAAGTTATGATTTAGTAATATATATAGTTATAAAATAAATAAATAAATAATATTTTAAAATAAATATATTGTCAAAAATCGAAAGAATGAATAAAATAATAAAGTACTGTTCATTTGGTGTAATGGTTGGAGAAGAATTTTGGTTTGGTGCAAGATTTAGTGCAAAATTTGGTGCAAAATGGTGCAAAATTTGGTGCAGGGTTGGAGATGGCCTTAGTCGTCATTTTCTATTAGAACTAATGAAATTTTGGATTTGAAGAATATTTTTCCCATCCCTAAGAAAGTAACTATATAATTAAGGGAGGCTAAAAAAAAAAAAAAAAAAAATTTGTTTTACCACAAGTAGTTGTGGCTGAACTGGATTTTGTCAGGGAATGGGTAAGATCAAATTGTTTTGAATAATTTCAGTGGTACAGAATTCATACAAAAGTCGTCCCATGTGAAATAAAATAGTGTCAAAAAATGACCACCCTACTAAGCGTGTGGTCTGTAAAGTTTTTGTACGCACAGTTTTTTGTACGTACAGCAGCTCTCAATTGTACCACGCAATATATAACCGCGAATGAACCTGAAATTGATTGTCCGTGATTTTGAGACAACACACATATTTAGCAAGCTGAATAGACAAGTGTATCAGGGGAATCGTTTCTGGATTCAAAGTCACTATTATAAATAGTGGCTACAGCCAGTTAAATTTTTTACTGTCTCACGAGGAATGACCAAAGTAATCAAACAACATACAAACACTTTTTATTTGATAAAAACACGATAAAAATGACCATAATGAACTCAAATTTATTTTTTTTTCATTTTTTTTAAAGAAGGTTTTCAATTATTTGTTTTCGGGTAGAGAGATATTGAGGGGACAAATGAATTTATGAAGAAAATGAGGTGACAGAATAGTAAAGCGTATCCACTTAGGGTTGGGTCAGTCGAGTAGGGGGAGTCTAGATAATATTTTCATTTTATCTACAAAGACGTCTTGACTATCATTCTTCACAAACCTGAAAAGAAATATTTTTGGCAAAGCTGAAATTTTTTTAAGCTGATCAAATAACACATTTCTTAAGATCCATAACTTATAAACACTTAAAAACGCACTATCAAGTAAGCACTAAAAAAATTTCCCTATTTTGAAGACTACAATGCAAGTTTTTCCTTGATTTGATGAGATCAAAATGATCCTATATTACACAAATTCCAATTTTAAGGCTTTGATAAATTGTTAACAGTCCTTTGATTGAGCACTCTATTCTGCTCCAAAGCAAAGTGATGTTGTCACCTGTGTTTAAAATGTCTTGTAAGTTGAATATGATGCTACTCTGACTAAATAATTGGAAGGGGAATTTACTAAAATTCCCGATTCCATGTTTGTCAATTGAAAAATGGCCAATTTGCTAACAAATTATCTATTATATCCTTAATGAAAAATGAAGCAACCTTTTTTTCTTTTTTTCACAAATATCAAGAAGAACAAGTAGCTTCCAGGAAAGCCACATTAATGCTAGCTAATATTATCTAACGGATTCATTTGTTTTCATTATTCCCCTTACTTTTCTTTAATTTATTTTTCATACTTATTTTCAACAACACATTCACACAATAAAATATACTGCACATTAACTCAAAACTTTTTCGTACTTTTTTCAACTACATTTTTAAAATTTTAAGGCCGCCAAACATAGGTTAGGCATTGACCAATGATTTTGGGAAAAAAAATTGATGATGAAGTAAAATCATTCACTAAAAATAACTATATGCTTCCAATTTATAAGATAATTATATAATTTCATTTCAAAAAAATTTACCTCATCCATATTTATGAGTTGATAAGACTCCACAATTCAAGGTAATTTTTCTTTGGAATCTTATTCATGTTGATAATTGAGTTTAATAGTTGTTATTCTTGATATTTCATGACGTTCTCAACATTTTAAAAGTTGTTATCGACATTTGGATCTTGTATATCTCGAAACTTGATACTTCATTCGTCTAGAACGAGATTACGGGCCCGCTTGGCACGGCTTTTACTTTGGCTTTTGCTTCTTGTAGAAGAGCTTTTAGAGAACGCTATTTTAATTTTTGTTTGAAAATTAATATTTAAAATTACTTCTCATTCCGGAAGTGCTTTTGGAGGAAGCCAAAAAAACTAGCTTCCTATAAAAGCTCTTCTAACCTCCAAAAGCACTTTAAACAAAAATAGCCAAACGGTCCAAAAGAGGCTTTTGGTTCTCAAAAGCTCCTTTTGACTTTTCAAAAGCCATCCCAAACGGGCCCCATTCCAAACATGAGAGTCCTCTACATATTTCAAAGTGATTGATATTTTAAGTATAGCTCTTACCATTTCAAATATGTTTTATTACCCATATATAGGGCGAAGTGAGTATTTAATGCATGATTGAAATGATACTTTTTTTAAATGAGTATAGATTCTGTGTCAAGTTATTATTGACCAATACAATTCTTAATTATATGAATGATTTTGTTCTCATTGTGGAATTTAGAAGTGCAAATGACTGCATTTTGGTCAAAATTATAGTCAAATGGACATTGAACAAATTTTGGACATTTTTACAAAGGATCATGTAAAAGTAGATAATTTTTCAATTTCCTCTAATTGGAATTCAAAATAGTTCATGCTACTGACAAGCTCAAATTAACAATTGTCTGCTAATAAATAAGTCTAACTAAACTAGTATTTGCAGTAAAAATAAAACTATTTTTTAAGAATTAAAATAATTTTCAGAATTTATTTGCATAACACTAAAAGAAGAAGTTATTAGAAGAGAATTTTAACAATTGGTGGAGCATGCTAAATTAGAAGAGATGGTTGAAGAAGCAAAATGAAGCCATATAGATAAAAATGTCAAGCCACAAAATCCCTTGGAGAGAATTTTCTGTTCTACATCCACCAAGGTGGAGCATTGCTGTGGAAATATTTAATCTAGGCGTTAAGGAATTGGTGCGTGTTTTGTGTAATGTAAGAACTATTGTAGAGACACAGAAGCAACCGCAGTGGTATACAAGTGTTTGTTGCTTGGGTTGAATTAGCACACTAATCCATCTCAAAGGAAACAGAAGAAAAATGAAAAATCGAGAGAACTTACGATTTTCATATGAGAACAAGAGCTTGCAGCGAGTACTCTTAAGAATCATATCCAAGTTAATCGTGCAGTGATTGATCTAGCAGGTTCTTGAATTCCAGCTCTTACAGTATCACAATCTTGTTAGATGCACATTAATCAACTTGCTTATCATCCCTTTCATCTCTAGTCTCCGATTCTTGATTGTCCTTGTGCCTTGCAGACGAAGACTTTGATGCCAATGTATGTCTGCAAATCCTGAAATAAATTTCGTGAAATCAAATAGCGTTCACCAGGATTAAGCTATAACAGAAATATAGATCCTCAGTAAACCACTTGACACATTACTTAGTACTCAACCAACCATGAGGAGAAATTTCTCGTTAACAATCCAACAGGCACGTTCAGCATTGATTTTACAGAACAATTCTAATCAGTTCTGGTTGGTCCAATCATATATAAACTGAAAGGTTGTAAAGCAATTGACAATGATCCATAAATCTAATAAATTTATGCATATAAATTAGTTCAGAGACATACCCCTCCAAAGCCTCAGCTTTCCTCTTGATTTCACTTGACAAGAGGATCGGATCTGCATTTTTGGGTAATGAATCCTGCTGTTGGGTTTTTTCTCGAAACCACTGCTCTGCTTTATTGCATTCACCAGTGACCTGCAAAATAAAAGTCAACACTATCATTTACTCTTTCAGCTAACAATAATTCAAAAAGAACATTCAAGAAGGGAACGTACAATGTCTCTTTCGCTAGGTGGAAGTGATCCTATAGCCATCCGATACTCCACTATGCAGTTTAGTAGACTTCTGGTTGCCTGTGCCCGAGCGTCTTCCTCTTTGTATCGATCTTCAACAGGATCCACTATCTAAAGAACAATTTTATTTATTTAGTTATTTATATTGCTGGGTGTCAATCTGATTAATCTCAAAAAGGTATAAACTTGAGGAGTCAAACAAAGAAGTCAAAAGAACCTTTTTCAGATCCTCTAATTTCTCTGTATAAACACTTTCAGACTCATCATCTCCGTCTTCGTAGAGCCATTCCTCAGTCTGTTGTAAATTACTTGATATCACTTCCCTCTCTGAATCAGTTGCAAAGCTTCGATATGTATTCAAAATCTGGCCAAATGCTTTTTGTCATTCTTAAAGACATGCGAAACACTAATAGAAATGAAATGAACTACAATTCACTGTCCACGTTAAATTAAATAATGCCATATTCTTGAGATATCAGACTGAAACACAAGGACATAGCTTTGTGAATCTTGAAAATGTTCTACACCAATGATTTCAGAACCAGCTATTTTCCTACAAATAGTGCATCACGTAGTTTTTGGGAAGAAACGTGCATCAAGGATGCTGAATTTACTATGTCATTGCTGGTGTAATTTATTATATAACACAATTATATTAAGCTTCCTAGTCGTCAGTATGACATTCCACAGCTCAAGTTGTCATACCACGAAATAATAAAATCAGATTAAATTTAACTATCCCAGCTAAAGCAAAGATTGTACCTTATTTCGCGCTTCATATACATAAGACTCCAGTGCATTTTTCTTATCTTTAGTCCTCTCCATCATTATGTCTTGCTGGGCCAGCTGAAGCTCTTTCTCTTGGGCTTGGGAGAGCTCATGGGGTGTCATACCGCCAAATATATTCTCATCAATGGTTATTTCAAGCCGTCTGACAGCCTGTACAAGGAGATACCGCTGTTCTGAATCTAGATTACCAGCCATGAGGAAAAGGTAACTACAAGTATGGTATGTTTTGTCCACTTTCTCCATCCCCCTCTATCAAAATGATCAAAAAGGAATTTATTCTTCTTATTCCCGTGAAGGTATCACTGTTCTGTACTTTAAGATGGCTTATGATTTAGCTCCCGTTTGGCCCCCATACTTTCCATAATTTAATGGTTGGAATAGTATTTTTTTGAAAAATGTGTGTTTGAAAAAAAATGAAAGTTTTTTATTTGCATGTAATATTAGTTTATGAAAGATTGTGTGATTAAAAATAAGAGAAAAAAATGAGAGAGAATGGAGGCCAAACGGGGGCTTAATATTAGTGAATATCTGTTTTAGAAATAGAGACTCTCACTTGATAGCCTTTAATAGGCAAAAGCTTATTGGAATATATTTCACTCTCTTATAAGATTGATGTTTTTGTGCAAGGAGTCATGTATTAGCTAGCAAAAGATTATTTACGAAACACAGGTTAGTGATGCCTGATGTGGTTTTTAAGAGGTGGAAAGTGCGAAAAGAAGGCCCGTCTTCAGTGGCGGATCTAGGTAGTTGCCCTAGCTGGATTCGTCGGAAGCAATTTTTTTTTTGGCTGACAATAGATTAAGGTTTTAGCTTGCTTATATTACTGATATTTTTTTCTTCTTTCAGACTCCCCTTCTGGTTGAAATGGTTAGAGCTTACATTTACATTTTGCAAGTCTCGGTTTCAAATCTCTTCACAGCCAATTTATTGTGCAATTTTTTTAGTTTTACAATTTCTACCAAAATCAATGTAATAGGAAAGAGTTGGATGAGATTCGAACCATGAACCCCTATTCTGATCATTGAAAATCTGACCACTCTGGCATCCATTGCTTTCAACTCTTAATTCAATAAAATAATAAATATTACATTTATGGGGTTTAATAAAATTATAAAGATTCAAAATCATGCTCTTCCTTTAAATTATACGAAACTTGGCAACAATGTCATTTGGTAAATCTACGATTTATTCTTATAACAGAATTATATATGTTCAATATGAACAAAATAATTGTTATATTTAAATTTTAGGCCTTGTTTTATTTTCATTTTTTTTCCAAAATACATTTTTATCTATCTTATTTTAACCATACATTTTTCAATAAAATAATATTACACGCAAATTCAAAACCTTTCCTTATTTTTAACCTCACGTTCTCCATGAAATCACTATTTCAAAATGCATTTTTTGTTAAAAAAAAGGACATCAAATGGGCTCTCAATACTTTATTGCGGCTGACGATTGACAATCAATGGCCACCCGTGCTGACTCAAAATCCTAGATTCGCCACTACCCGTCTCCAAGTTGTTCAAGATAAGTCGTGGATATCTTATCAACATGCCACATAGCGTTCAAGATGGAAGTTATCGACCGGGGAGAACAGGCCATTTGCTAGGGAGATTCTGAAATTGCGGAGGGAGATGAGAGAGTAAAAATGTTAAACATTATAGAACAAGATGGTGGAGAACTACATGATGAAATTAAGTGACTACCAAGAATATGGTTTTAAGGAGGGAAAACTGGATGTAGATGAAGATACTAACTTGATGTGGAATTTTATGGTTAAGTAGATAAGAAGCCTAGTAAAGGAATGTGAGGGTTAAAGGGTAGAAAGCCACCTAAGAAAAAATGGTGGCAAAACAAGAAAGTTCAGATTGCTCTTAAGACTAAAAGAAAATGTTAATGATGGCAATAATTAGTCCGGTTTGCTTGGAGGTTGGATCACAGTATATGCTGAGCCCTTCAAAAATGGATTGACCACAGTGGATCACCAATGAACCAGTGTGATGTATGTCTGAAATATTAAGCTAGGAATAAGAGTGTAGCAGAACTCTGTCAACTAACAAGACCACGATGAGCATTCGCTAATCTTGCTCAACATGCACAGAGTTAATTGATTTTCAAATGAAGTTTCCCATTTTTTTTGCTTAAGTAGAGATGACCTCAAAAATGTTAGCCTTTATTTGGGCTTCATTTTCTTTTGCTTAAATTTAACTTTACAAAGAAAACATTAATTTTAACCACAATTTTTGTAGGACCACAAATGTTATCCACTTATCTACCACATGTTTCTTGAAAAGTAAAATTTAAGGAAAAGAACATGAAATCCAAACAAAGTTACCATCTTGCAGTTCTTTGAAAGTTGTGCGGGGATGATCTTGTGAAGAGGATAAATAGCAGAAATGCAGTGTCCTCAAATGAAGCATTTTTATGTGGGCAGTTCTAAAGAGTCAAAGGATGTTAACTAGTGCTATATCTAATATCAAAATGCCAACATATCTCTCAAAAGTAGTGGGGAGTTTTAAACTGAACCAAATTGACTAAAAATTGACAGATCATTATTTTAATCTGAACTTACAGCAGGACCATCTGCTTTGCTTGAAGATTCTTGATTGTCTGGCTCCATCTTGTCTGAGACGGCATCACCATTCATAATAGAATCATCCAAACTATCCTCCATCAGCTGCCAAGAGAGTACAGCATATACTAAATATAGGAAACTCATCTTCCAAAGCCCCTAATAAAATGATATATTTCAAAGAAATACAAATTAAATTTATGCCCACCGAGGCAGACTCTATGGTAACAATTCCATGGAGGCTTAAGTTGACTCTAACTTTAATCTTTGCTTTTCCCACATGAGGAACTTTGAATGGCCCAATCTGAAAATGGAAAAATAAAAATATTGTTACAAAATAGAAGTCAAGCAGGGTTAAAAAAAAAAAAAAAAAAAAAAAGAAGGAAAAGCTCAAACTTTGCCAGGAGATAGGGAAAGACACCAACGAACCTTTGCACTAAAGATATTCAAATCTTTTAGGAGATAAACAATGAATAAGAAAGAAAGAGTATCTATTCTGAGTTGCAAAATCCTCCAAAAACTAAGCCCTTGTTTGATTTCGATTCTTCAAGAATCATTGCTCTCCCACACTCATTTTCAACCATACAATCTCCAAAGAGTATCATTTTTCACATTTCCCTATTTTTTTAACACATGTTCACAAAAAAATAAAAAACTTTTCATGAATCTCTTCTCAAAAAATCTTTATCAAACAAACGCTAAATGTGTCTAGAAAATCAATCATATTAGGACTCTTTTCCAAACATAAGCTCCTCTGAAGCCACATGAGTGCAAAACAAATACCAATGTTCTCTCTATTATGATCTTAACAAACTGCCTGTCTTTTCCGTGCTACTTGTTTCATGTCTAATAAGATGTCATTTTTGGAAAAAGAGTTGCCAGAGTAGCACTTCATAATGTCAATACATTTATATCCCTGACCCTGAAACATAATACATTCTTGAATTACAGCAATCGTGACATACAAAGCCTCATTCTCATTAAATTTAGGTGAACTACAAAATCCTTCTTCTCCGCTACATTTGATCTGCAATCTGATCTCTGGCTGAAGGTACACCCACTGAGAAATCTGATGAGAGAAAATCCTTTGCATAACAACATTAATCATATTAATCTTGGTATATTGACTCTATTTTCTCTCGTTTGCCTTGTTTTACTAGGATTACATTACTTATTAACCACACTCCTCTATAGAAAGCATGATCCATTCACCCAAGTCATCCCACCCTTAGTTTATCCCCAGTGGTGTCACCTCAAGTTGTTGACGTAGATCTTAATTTCTTATCATAATCATTCTTGACGAGCTAGTTATCCATCTTCTCATTTTACTACATTAATGTAATGGGGATTTTGTCCTCTTAACATCCCATCACTTTGTGACATTAAGCATAACTACTAATGATTTACCTTGTCACTTTATAGGTAACTTTCAATCACATAAATTTCCTGATTTTACTTCTCCATTTCAATCAACCTTTCTAACTAAGTGAATCAAATTCCCGTAAGTCTCATTTGTTATTGAACTAAATACTTAATACAAACTCTTTAGGACAATCTTTTTCGTAGTAACTCCATTTACATTTTTATTTTTACATTAACAGAAAGGATATTTCATGTATTCTAGACTCCAAAGTGCTTTAGGATTTATCCTCCTAGCCCCTTCAACCAAACTACATGATCAATGAACTGCATACATGAATGAATTTATCTCAATCCAGTTTGTGATCACGTGCTTAAGGTGAATAAAATTCTCACGCTAAATGTTGCTTCTAAGATATTAAAACTATTAGACAGATAATCACCTTTATTATGACAAATAGGACTAGCAAATTTCATTTATTTGGTATCAATTTGTTCTCCATCCATTCAGAATAATCTTATCAACCACGAATAATAATCTCACTGTAAGTTCTATACGAACCAATTGATTTTCTCAACTTCATCTTCTTCAAAGTTTGACAAATTTCCAAATATCCATAGTGCCTTGTAATAATTAATTTATTAAAACAATTCCCCCGTTTTGGGTGCTCTCAGTCTTATGAATCAAAGAATTTGATTTTCATCTTTAATACAACTTGTTTACATCTCTATTTTATTGACTAATAATGTATCTTGACAATATATTATTTGTAAGTTTAATGATCCAGAATAAAGATGTGCCTTGTAGAGGGTTTTTCAAATGTGTAATATTTCCGATCAATTACCTTCTACAAAAGAAAGCCACAACAACATGGTGCATCATCTACGCTTTGAAATCAAGGGAAGGAAAAATATTTTTTCCCCTTAAGCAGAGTTGTGTTCCAAAATGCAGATTAGATTTGCACATTGGTCAACTCTAGGTGCAGAAACTACAGAAGAAAACTACAAAAGGTAATCCATATATACCGCAAAAGAGCTGATTCCTGTAGATACACCTGAAGGCAACTCATTCTGGTTCATATAAAATGCTTCCAAGTGAAATGTGCCACTTCGGTGCAGCGAGAGCATCTTTAGACTTGGAAAAGGATGCAACTTAGGAAACAACATGCCATCAGTCACTGTGCAGATCGGTCCTTCATCAGATGTAAATCCAATAGAGAATGGAAATGAATCTTGCACCTGCAAATAAATTATACAGACTGTCAATGTAAGGGAAAAATAATTGAGCAATATCCTTAAAAATGCATTAAAGAAAATTTGATTGCGAAGATTTTTACTTTCCCGTTCAGTATAAAGGTCTTGAGGTGCTGCAGGAAAACATGATTAAGCTACTTCTCTCTCAAGCGAGATGTTTTTTCTAAGCTTTAGAGATTGACATTCATTACAAAGATATGAATAGGTCATATATCAGACAATGGCTAAGGTGGTCCTGTCCCCCCTCTTATCATGTCAAATTTTTCCAAAGCTATAAAGCTAGTTAAATATCACATTAACCAAATAGTGCAGCCACATGGGCTCTTTTTTTTCCCTTCTAGGTGCTTAGCTCTTGCTTTGGGTAAGTGAATGTGGAAAGCGGGTGTTGGGGTGTTGATGCAGGGGTATTTTGGGAAGCTAATCCAGACTATTGTCTCCGGAGTTTTTATGTATAGAAAACCCATTCTCTGAGGAACAAGGCCTTTCTGAATGGGTTAAACATGGATAAGAATCTAACCAGGTAAACAAAACATGAACAAGTATTTTAAATGTATCTCTTTTGAAAAATTCATTCAATATACAGCTCTTCGATATGTCAGTACAAAAAAATGACAAACGGTACACACTAAAAGTTAAGGTCAAAATATAATAAACAGTGATAGCATAGGAAAAGAAACAAAAATGATGTTTCTAAGCATTTTCTTCAATAAAAAGTGCAAGAATATATGTTATTGACAAGCATTTTTCACTAATGGTTTTTTTTTTCTATGGCTTGAATTATTACAAGACATACTTACAATATTATCAATAATGTCTGTCTGAAAACTAATATTTTGGTGCAAAAGTCTCAATCTGACTTTTTATTTTATTTTATTTATTTATTATTATTTTTTTTAACCAAACAAGTATTTGACTTACAAGTGAACAAATAGAAATTTTCTAGACCATTGTATAATATAAAAACTATGTATACATTCATGACATTTCATCACATGAAGTTTCCTCTACTCGCAGCATGAGAACCAGCATTTAATACTCTATTAGTTTCTAGTATAAAGAGCGTATAAATATGTTTTAGGGATTACAATAATTTTGCTGCATTGTAAATGGTGTATTACTCAAAATCTATTGCACAGTCAACAATCATTTTCAGGGTTATTAGATTTAAGCATGTGTTGTGGAAGATAAAGTATACGGCAATTGATCAGTATGAGCACCATCATATATGTATCTCGCATGAAGCTACTATTAGAACTTGAAAGACAACTTATAGGGCTAGTCAGCTATTGAATGATATCATTTTATATTATAGTTGTTTGCCACGCATACAAAAGTATTTGTCTAGAAGCTGGATTTTTTTGTACTTCGTAACCCATGGCCAATTATTTGGATTTTTGTAGTCTCATTCGCTGCCCAAGTTCAGTCCCCCTAAAAAATTGTACTTGTAGGAGTACTAAATGAAATGCTTAATTGAGTTACATCTTCACTAGCTTCCAATAACAACAGCAAAGGTTGATCGATAACTCACATTATTCAGTTATGAAGCACTGCAAAGTGATCGAAAGGACATATTAGAGAAACAACCAACTTACTGAACGGTGTCAGAGCTAAAAGATTAAAAAAATTATGTTGCTTGGCAATGAAAACTAACACATGGTTTCAGGAAAACATGGGATAACCATGAAAAAGCCGTGCTGTAAAAACAAGATTATACTGATGGAAATAATTTGACGTTGAGTTAATAACTGAAACTCAAACCTCATACTCTCTCACGCGGAATATTGGACTAAGCATTGCACATTGAAGAGCACAACCACGAGCCACGCACTCACTTGCATTTACCGTCCGTCTAGGTTCTTTCCCGAATAGTGAGTTCAATATCTTAGCAATGGCTGGTATTCGGGACCCTGATCCAACAAGTTCAACCGTATGGATCTTCTCAAGAGTCAGACCAGAGTCAAGCAAAGCCTTACGACATGGAATGCTAACCCTTTCCAGTAATTCTGATGACAGCTTTTCAAAATCCTCTCTCTTAATGAATCCCTTGACGTCCTTCTCTTCCATCAAGCACTCAATATTAAGTGGTGCCTCTGGATTAGCACTCAAGACTTTCTTCATTTTCTCACATGACGCTCTCAGTCTTAAAGATGCTCGAGCATTGGAATAAACGTCAATGTTGTACTGTTCCTTGAACTGTGCAGCAAAATACCTGAAGAGGACTTCATCAAAGTCTCTTCCCCCTAAGTTGCTATCAGAAGCATGAGATAATATTTTCATATGCCCAGGTTCAAATGATGCAACAGCAACCTGCATATCACAATGACCAATATCCACAAACACAACATTTGCTGGACCTCCACTTGAGAATTCTGTCTTGTATATACCATACCCCAGAGCAGTAGCAGTACAGTCATGCATCAACCTTAGTGGCTTCAAGCCAGCTATCTCCGCAGCATTCAAATATGCACGTCTCTGCAAGTCCGTTAAGTAAGACGGCACACCAATCACACAATCTGAAATGGGTGTCTCAAGATTCCTCTCTGCAATCTGCTTCAAATGGGTAAGCAGCATTGCTAGAATCTGAATCGGTGTAAAAGTCTGTTTCTTGCTCAAATAATTTAAGTGTATCACAATGCCCCCATCAGGACCCTCGGAAGTCTCAAAAGGGAAGAGTTTGAGGTCATCCTGCACTATGGGCTCGCTAAATTTCCGTCCTATCAATCTTTTGACCTGAGAAATAGTGGATTTTGGGTTCATTGTAGCAGAGGCAGCCCCAGCCGAGCCAATAAACCTCTGCTTTTCACCAAATGAAACCACAGTCGGAGTTTCGCGCTTAGATTCATCATTTAACAATACATCAATTCCACGTTGCTTAGCAGCTCCTATTACACAGTTCTCATTCCCGATATCAAACCCCAATGCACTCATCTCTGGCTAAATCGGAAACAGAAACCTAAAATTTTCGACTTTATATGCAATATTAAATGCAAAAAACCGTAGAATTTGGGCCTCCAAAGAATCAACCTTGGGGAACTATTAGCTCATTATCTCTACAAAATAGTAGAAAACGGAGATCGATATTCAAATTCATCCACATAAAAGAACGATCAGATTATATTAAGAAAAAATGAATTTGATCAGCTGCCGGACTCGATAAATTTAAAATATATAATCACAATTAGGAAACAAGGGCTTTGAATTTGCAGCGTTGGCATAATAAAATTCCATTAACTGATAAACCAATGAGAAAAAATCTTGCGAAAGTAAATACGTACGTTAGCCTCTGGTCTGGGAGAACAGAGGAAGCAGAGGACCCTAAAAATGGGGAAAGGAAGAAGCAGGACGGATGAGAGAGAAAATCTCTAAATACATTGTAAATTCAGAGCGGCCAGTTTCTGAAGATCTCTCCCCATATGCACGTCATATTGCCGTATGTGTAGTCAAGAGGCTTGTATATATAGGAATATTCGCCTATTTTTTTTTATTTTTTTTTGATAACCCAAAGGTGTCCTAGCTTAGCCGGACTAAATCCTGGACCTCTAGCCCCCGGCCCCTCAGTGACTAGTGGAGGTAAATAGCAGGTTGTGCCCTTGTTGGTTCCCAGGTTCCCACATGACTTTTACTCCTCCCCCAAAGGGACCCTCCTCCATGATTATTACATCACCAAGCTGCTCCAACCCTTCCTCTGGTTATTACATCACTTGGCTGCTCCAACCAGGAATCGAACTCCCCACACTTGGTTCCAGAGCCCCCCAATGTGATTGTTCCGCCAACTTGGATGTGCTAGGAATATTCGCCTATTGTATTGAAAGGAGATTGTCAAAGAAAATGTTGTTTCAACCTTTTCCAGGCTGAAAAGACGATTGTTCTTGTTTTTCACTTTTCTTTTCAGCGTAACTGATCGTTACTGGCTACGTTTTAATATTTGTGGTGTTGGAGCATCAATTTGGGTTATCATACTTGATACATATGAATCCTATGGTATTGTATTTATCATTTAATATCATGCACTTGTCACATAAATTAATGTTTGATACCAATAATGATAAAGCTTAAATGTGAGATGATCAAGCAAATAACGCACAAGTGGAGATCTTTGACCGCCAATTATTGTGACATGCCAAATATATTAGGTTAGTCGCACATCAACACAAAACAAGAGGCCAATATTCAATCCAACACATTCAAATTCCAGGCAAGCGAATGTGGGCGGTATGCAATTTGTGATATCTAGGTGGACATGCCACGACATAATGCCTTTGGACACAACTTACATTAAAAAACTTCATAGTTCATGAGATTATGCAATTTACAGCAAGCATCGTATTTTGTTGTGTTCTTCATTGTGAAAACCGAAATGCAGTAAAGAATAATTGAACATTGCTTGCTTCCTAATTTACCGTTTGTGAGAACTTAGATATTCGTTGTCCAAAAGTCATGTTAAATTTGAGACACACCTGACCTCAAGTGCACACTACAAATGGGACATCAGGAAGCAAGCAATGTTTGAGTATTCTTTACTACATTTTGCAATGGCGTTCGTTAAATCATACAATGGGTGGAAGACACACATAGATGGAATGGGGCTCCAACGAGGGGCAACATGATTGTTGCATCAATGTTGTCGCCCACTACTAGTTATAACATATTCATGGGCTTGCTTTGCTTTGCAGTTTCTATAAAAAGATCCTTCTACATATTCATCTATGGATACCACACATTCCTAAAACTCTTTGTCACATCTCATTTCTATTTCATTATTCCTTACTTTTGTCGATAAATTTATTTTTCAAATGAACAACTTGTTGAAATGTTATGTGCAAGGTTAAAAATCTAAATGACCATTGAACTTTATACAAAATTTTTCAGTTAATCACTGAAGTTTGAAAGTTTTCCATTAGTCCACTAGCAGATCCAGTTTCCAGCATGAACACGGACTAATACAGCAAAAAAAATAATAATAATAAAATAAAAATTACACAAAAAAAATTTTACAATTTTTTTTTTTAAAGGAGATTTGGGGAGAACGGATGGGCTGTAGCACTGGTCTGTCCATCCCTGAATCCGCCCCTGCATTAGTCACTAGAATTTTTAATATGTAATTTTATTTATCACTCTCTCAACTGTCATTTTAAAAAGTGATGAAATCACTGATGTGACAAGTGGAATTGCTTATGTGGCACGATATTGTCGCTAATAAATGCAAAGTCATGAAGTTGTTATTGACATAGTCAAAAGTGTGTTTTTGACAAATGTGTTTTACACTTCAAGATTACAATACATAAAATAAAATTCGGAAATAAACATTAGATAACATAATGATGTGAACTCACCTTGCAATTGAAACTACAGAACCCCACTGATTAGATCAAACTCAAGAAAATCAAGAATCGACGTTTGAAAAAGCTCGACCCGATAAATTATTGAATCAAAGAACCAAGACAATCGCAAAGGATATCTTGACTCCGTGATCACAAATCTTACGAACCTTACTTGGGTTGTTAAACACTACAAGAAACTAATCCTTGACAAGTTCGGAAATTCATTCAATGAAGAATGAGTTGAAAGTAAAATAGACCTCGCAATAATATCTCTCA